TATCTCGGTGGAGAATATAGAGTACTTAGTTCTAGGTTGTATCCTTCTTTAGTGAACAATCAGATGATTTAAAACTTAAACAAACTATCACTTGAGAAAAAATTTTTTGTAAGAACTAAAAAACCATAAAAATGATTTTCTTTTTACATTCCATAACTTTAATTTTCAAATTTAAGTGAATTCATTGAATAAAGCTACAAGCTTTACAAATTATTATTTGGCTTAACTCAAGAGTTAATCAAGTTGCTTGTGAGATCCATATTCAGACTAATTCGTATACTACTTGATCGCACGTGCACTTAAGTGTGATGTGTGTTATTTGCACAGTAGATCATGATGATATTTTATATATTATTTTGTAAATTATTGATTTTGACCCTTAATCTACATGTATTAATTCCAAAGGTGGAAAAGATAAATGATTGGATTGATTAAAGATGAAGGTTGCAAATTAGTGATTATAGATATATCTTTAGCTATATTATAATCATCTTAATATTATATATTGATGGATGTAGAGATTCATATCATGATAGCTATATAAGAACTCTTTTAACTATTTAGTTTTATGAAATAATTAGAAATGATTTTAAAGATTGTTTGTTTTAATGTATTTCTGATAACATATTAATGTTTCTATATTATAGTAAATAATTGATTAAAAATATCGTTTTAAATAGATTATAGATAATGTTTATTGCTTTGTGTTCAACATAGATTTTAGGTAAAGTTTATTGCTTTGTAGTCAACAAAATATAACCTATTCTAGTATAAAAACTAAGTCAATTTGGGTCTTGACTAGTGACCTTCATTTGAACAAAAATAATTTAAAAAATCTTAATAATAAAGAAGAACTTTTTTTTCTTTAAGGAAATTTACCTAATGTTGAACATGAATTGAACATGATTTCTTTATTAGAAATGATTGGCTTAGTAAAATATTGGTTGATATTGGCAAGAGGGAACAAAGGGAAAAGAAGATTATCGAGGATTATTGTGTAAGGAGGGAAATTTCTTTTATTTTAACATTAAGAGAATATTTAAAATCAATGGAAAGCACATAAATGATCATCTCCCGAATATACCGATGATTAGAGTTGTAATAGAGTCGAATCAAACTGAGTGCGTCTTGGATTGGACTTGGTTTGATCATATCATAGTTTAATGAGTACTTTAATGAATTAATTAACAAGCTAAAATTTTGAATGAATACTTTAACTTTAATATAAAGTTGGTATTAAAAATATTTAAAATCTAAAAAATTAAGTAATTGAATAAATTTTAAATTAATAAATAAAAAGTTTACACCAACAAATAAGATAATTTATAAGCCATTAAGAAATTTTCTTGTAATCAAATAATATAAATGAGTAATAAGAAACCATTCCATTGAAAAAAGAAAAAAAATAATTATAATTAATTAATATGAATATTGTTAGATTATAACATATTCTATTAATTAATTATAATTACTATTAATAATTATAATTAATTAATAGAATATGTTATAATCTAACAATCATCAAATCTTTATCTTCTTACTACTAAACTTTCCCTTTTCTTATGAAAGGAAGTCGAAAAGCTTCACCTTTCACAGTAGCGTGGCGTTGAAGAATCAATCTCCTAACCCTCCACACAAAACCATAAAAAAGTGATTGGAAATCTCGTCCTCTCCACCGTTCCCGAATCAGAATCCCAAATCAACACCTGAGACCGATCACAGATCCATCGCCCGCCGATACCCCCACCGAGCACCCGGCAGCCGCCTCGACGTGATGCGTAAAAAATTTCAAAACACTAACCCTACCTTTCACTTTCATCCTCGACTCCACCTCCATGGTCCCCGATTTCAGCGGTGCGGCGGAAATGTCGAAAGACTCGACGGAGAATTTTACCCCCATGTTCTTGGTCCGGCCGCCGTCGATCTCACCGGCTGGGATGTAGATGAATCCGAGCTGTTTTCCGGCGTAGATTAGCTGGAGAGAGCTGTCGTAATGGGAGAAGGCGGCGCGGTTAGGGTTTCGAACGACGGCGTATTGTGCGAAGGTGAAGCTAACGGTGCCGTTGCGGAAGGAGAAACTGGGGATCTGGATGGCGGAGACGTGGATCGTTGGGGAGCGGGGACGGAAGAGGAAGAAGAAGGTGATTGCGAGGGAGGTGGTGACGAGGACGAGGAAACAGGCGGCGAGGGCGCAGGAAGAGAGGGGTTAGGCT